ATGTTCAGGGCATGAACTCTACGCAAAAAGATATTTAAGTTTCTCCGGGCTCGCCATGTCGACATTGCTTGTCTGCAGGAAACTCATTTTTCAAATACCTCTGCCCCTAAATATTTCGATGCACGCTACCCTCAGGTTTTTTAAGGCCACTGGCCCTACTAAACAAAGGGGAGTCCTTGTTGCTTTTCACGGCAAACCCCATTTGTTTGTGTGAAGCGTATTGCTGATCCAAGCGGCAGGTATCTTTTATTACAGGGCATGATTCAGGGTATCGATGTTACAATACTGACCTATTATGCTCCCAATGTTAACCCTGGACCCTTTCTATCACATATCTGCTCCCTCCTGGCTGTCCATCAATGGAGTACTCTTCTGCTGGCAGGAGATTCCAATTTAGTATTAAACCTATCCCTAGATAAATACCCTGCAGAAAACTCTAATTATTCCACGTCGGCCAACTCCTTCACCCATACGTTAAGTAACTATTACCTGGTAGATCTATGGCATGAATTCCACCCCCGGGGAAAAGATTTTACTTACTATTCTCATCCTCATCATTCTCATTCAAGAATTGACCATGCTTTTGTGTTGCGTAAACATCTTCCCTTAGTACGCTCCGTCTCTATCCTCGCGGTTCCATGGTACGATCATGACCCCATTTTGGTGGTTTGTCAATCTCTCCTCTGTAAGCCATCCTACTCCTCTTGGATTATGAATGACTCTCTACTTTCACTGAAGGAGATTCAGGCGGAACTAGTGTGTAAATCCCAAGAATATTTTCAGCTAAACTCGGGTTCTGTCTCTTCTTCGGTGACGTTGTGGGAAGCTTACAAGGCTGTTCTACGGGGTCATATTATTCAGATAGCTTCAAGGCGGAAGAGGGATAGACAACATAAACAGAGTCAGCTGGAATCAAAGTTAGCTTCCGCGTCGACTCAATTCAAGCAGGTACCAACACCATCGAACCGTAGGTTGTTAGATCAGAATCGCCTGGAACTAGATCTCTGTTTGACTGATGAGGCTGAGCGTTCTTTACGATGGACATGCCAGAAATGGTATAGTAAAGCAAATAAACCAGATTCCATGTTAGCACGTAGATTGCACTCTTTCGCGCACCATCCTAAACCGATTTCTCTACGCACTCGTCAGAATGTTCTCGCCATTAATCCTGTAGCGGTATTAGAGGAGTTCCGGCATCGAATAGCGAGACTTTATGCGGATCCTACACGGGCTGATCCCCAATCTATCTCTGACTTTCTATCTCATTTGTCCTTATTTTCTTTGACCCAGACCCATAAGGACCTGATGGACCATGATATTCAAGTATCGGAAGTTCTGCAATGCATTGCAGACCTGGAGACGGGCAAACGCCCAAGTCCAGATGGATATACGGCTTCATATTACAAAAAACTGGCTGATGTGCTTGCCTCACCTTGCCGCTATGTTCAATGCGGTGAAGCGAGGTGCAAACTTTTCCCCTGACTCTTTGACTGCTAGCGTGGTTATGATCCCCAAACCGGATCGGGTTGCCCACTCTCTCCCATACTATTTATCTTGGCTTTGGAACCGTTGGCGGAAGCCATTCGTATACATCCTGATATTAAGGGAATAGATGTAGCTGGTTCCCAACACAAGTTATCTATGTTCGCAGACAATATATTGTTATCGGTTACGAACCTGGGGGTTACTTTGCCAAACTTACTTGCGGTTTTTGGATTACCCTGCCAAGTCCAAAGCTATGTCGATTACCCTCTCACCATCACTTTTGGAGACTCTGAAACATTTGTTCCCTTTTCAATGGCTTTCTGCCTTGCTGTATTTAGGAATCAAGCTTACTCCAATTTACGAAGGACTTTACCGGGCTAATTTCCCCACTGGTTTTAATGACTTGACGTAGTTGTTGTCTTCCTGGTCTCATTATCCGCTTTCGTGGTTCAGTAGAATCAATGCGGTCCGCATGACTTACCTTCCCAAATTATTGTACGTGTTTCGAGTTTTACCAGTCCCTGTTCCTTCACATATATTGCGTATTCAACAGCGAAAACTCCTGTCTTTCATCTGGAGCGCCTCTCGACCCAGAATCAGTAAACAAATCTTATTTGCTCGTAAGACCGAGGGTGGGTTATCTGTCCCGAACCTTCAGTCTTACTATCTGGTGGCCAATATTGCCCCCTTAGCCCACCTCCATGCATCCATCATTTTCCCTTGTGGGCTACTGTAGACTTGATGGACTCCCACCCGATTCCACTCTCTTCTTTACCATGGCTTCCTTCTACTCATGGACCCTCATCCCTTAGTCCGACGTTGACGCTAAAGCTCCGTCTTTGGGACTCCTTTAAATATTCTGCTGGCCTCATTTCTGCTCATCTACCGTTACTACGGTTGCTACACAATCCATTATTCCCCCCAGGTTGTGACAATCCTGGACAGTTTGCTTGGTGGCAAGCAAATGGCCTCCATGATATTCATTCCATGCTCTCTCCCACTCGGATACTCACCTTTGAAACTCTGCGCTCTTCTTACAATATCCTGTTGCGGGAACATTTTGGATACCTTCAACTCCGCCACTTTATCAGTACTTTAATACAGACACACGTTCGGGACCCTACAGGTTGACCCCCTTTGAAAGTCAATGTAGACATAGACCCCATGCTTCGGGCTTAATTTCCCTGTTCTACTCTTCCATTATTTCTCATAGAACTCCTCCAGTTCATTGTTATCATCAGCATTGGCAGTTGGAACTTAGGGGCACTCTAGATCAGCAGGATTAGCGGATCATGACCCAACAATTATCCAAATGTTCTAGGAATGTTATCATTCTAGAAAACGCATACAAGGTTCTTTATAGATGGTATTACACACCTGCTCGTCTGGCTCATTTTTTTCCCACATATTCCCCAACTTGCTTTTGAGGTTGTCAGCAGACGGTTACCATGGTCCATATTTGGTGGACTTGCCCCAAGGTGTGCAGATTGTGGATCAGAGCTTATGCCCTTCTCCGCACTATGTTCCACACAGACATGAAATGCAACCCGTACGAAGCGCTGTTATTTAAACCGTTAGTGGGCCTACTTCATCCTCAACGGCAGCTGGCATCGCACTTGTTCATGGCCACCAAGCTGACGATTGCAAGAGCTTGGAAGACTCCCCTCCTCAGCTTCGAGGCTGTCAAAAACCAGATGAACTTCATAATGGTCAACGAAAAGTTGACAGCTATACTGTTAGACACCCATACAAAATTTTTACAGACATGGCATCCTTGGCTTGATATAGCTCAACCGTCAAGATTTGACCAGTCCCTCTTGTCGATATAAAACTTATATACCAGCTTATTTTTATATTTTACTTTATTTTCTCTGCCGCGGTCCCCCTGGAGCCCCCCCCCCCACTTTTTTTTTTGGTGTTCGTTTGTTTGTCTCCTTTCTCTTTGCTCCTTTCTTTCTTCTTATCTAGTCTGTCTTCTTCAGGTTATTTGTGCTGATTGTGATTCCTGTTTTGAGTTCTGTACCAGCAATACTGCACCCATGTGCTGGACTCCTTTGAGAGCCCTGCGTGTTAAGTAGCTCTCTGTACTCAGAGAGGCTCTTTCTCCTATTCATCTCGCATTCTGTATGTTGATTCTGCAACAATTTTTCCTGAGAGTTTATTATGTTATTAGTCTCTAAATGTCTATCATTTTTGTAATTTATTGTCTTTTCTTTCTGTACGGCACTTATGTATGCAGTTTATTTTCATGTTTCCTCATCAGTACATATTCTGTATTATCCATCAAATCTTTTGTATGTTATATTCCTGCTGGACATTGCATATGTTCTTGACTGATTCTCTGCTGTTTCCTATTCTATTCTTTGTAAAATCTTTGTAAAAGAAATCACTACCATCAAACGTTTTGTTACAAATAACCAACAGGGTCTCAAGACACGTGTTGAGAAAAAAAGACACACATTAACTACCCAAGATTTCATAAGAATCAATTGTGAAGCTACCAGGAACCCATTATCCTCCAGTGCTGTCATATTCCAGAACTGCAATCTACGTGCAGTGTCTAGAAGTAGAAGGTGTTCAGTGCTCAGAGATATGGCCAAGGTAAGGAAGGCTGAACCCTGACCACCGCTGAACAAGACTCATAAGTTGAAATGTCAAGACTGGGCCAAGAAATATCTGAATGCACATTTTTCAAAGATTTCAAAATATAGGCTGGTATTAATAAAGATGACCTAGTTGGACCTTTTCAAATTAAAGATGGACTCAAAATCAACTCTCAAACGTACTGCCAGTTTTTAGAAGACACTTTCTTCAAGCAGTGGTACAGGAAAAAATCTGCATCTTTCAAGAGGACCATGATATTTATGCAGGACAATGCTCCAGCACATGCATCAAATGACTCCACTGCGTGGCTAGCCAGTAAAGGCCTTAAAGATGAATGACAATGACCCCCTTCCTCACCTGACCTAAACTCCATTGAGGACCCTTCTTAAATGGGAGATTTACGGTGGAGGAAAACAGTACACCTCTCTGAACAGTGTCTGGGAGGCTGTGGTTGCTGCACAAAAAGTTTATCATCAACAGATCAAGAAACTGACTCCATGAATGAAAGGCTTATGACTGTTATTGAAAAAAAGGGTGGTTATATTGGTAATGTTTTTCTTTATGTTTATTTGTAAATGTTGAGTTGTTTCTTTATTATTATCACTTTAACAGATGAAAATAAATGTGAGATGGGAAAATTTTTGTTTTTCATTTAGTTGAATAATAATTGTGCACATTAATAGTTGCCCAGTAATTGTGCACACAGATATTCTTCTAAGAGGGCCAAAACCTCACTTTTACTTTCTTAACTGCCTCCTGCCCGCCATATAAGGAAATGACAGGTGCAAAGCGGTTCTCTCATTCTGGGAGGACGTCATATGACGTCCTCCCATTCTAACTGCACATGTGCGGCTCCAGGAGCATGCAGCACGGCGATTGGTGGTGCGCTGTGTCCCTCAGACACAGTGGATCACTGATCAACAGAGAGAGCCGAAGATGTTGGCTCAGTCATGTCCAATCACAGCTGATCGCATGTAAATAGGGAAATGCCGGTTATCGGCATTTCTCTCTTCACGAGCTGTCATGCTGACAGAGCAGAGCCGGTAATTGGCATCCCTCAGAGGGGACATGTACACTGATCATCAGGGCACTGATGATCAGTGTGCCCTGATGATCAGTGTAGCCCCAGCAGTGCCACCTGTCAGTGTCCATCAGTACCAGCTGTCAGTGCTCATCAATGCCACCTGCCAGTGCCCATCAATTCCACATATCAGTGCCTACCAGTGCACATCAATGCCACATATCAGTGCCCATCTGAGCTGCCTTTCAGTGTCACCTATCAGTGCCAGTCAGTGGCATCTATCAATGCCAGTCATTGCCACCTATCAGTGCTGCCAATCAGCGCCGCCTATCAGTGCCAGTCAGTGCCGCCTATCAGTGCCAGTCAGTGCCGCCTATCAGTGCTGCCTAACAGTGCCAGTCAGTGCCGCCTATCAGTGCCAGTCAGTGCTGCCTATCAGTGCCACCTATCAGTGCCATATATGAGTGCTGCCTTTCAGTGCCCATCAGTGATGCCTGTCAATGCCCATCAGTGCCACCTACCAGTGCCTCCACATCAGTGCCAATCAGTGCCACCTATCAGTGTCCATCAGTGCAGCCTCATAAGCGCACATCAGTGAAGGAGAAAAAGCAATTTTATAACAAAAACTAATAAAAAACATGTTTTTTTTCAAAATTTTCAGTGGTTTTTGGTTTGTTTAAGAAAAAATAAAAAACTCAGAGGTGATTAAATACCACCAAAAGAAAGCTATATCTGTCACAAAAAAATGATAAAAATTTCATATGGGTACAGTGTTGCATGACCGCACAATTGTCATTCAAAGTATGACAGTGCTGAAAGCTGAAAATTGGCCTGGGCAGGAAGGGGGTATAAGTGCCCTGTAGGCAAGTGGTTAAATATTCAGGTTTGAGGTTCATTAACATTTTGGATTGACCGAGAGCCCTGCAGTTGTTCAATAATGAAATTAATCCTCAATAAAACAACTTGACTAAAAATTGTGTACACAGTGTATTCTTGAACGTGTATAGTTTTCTGCTCTGTTCTATCTGCTGATCAGTTACATCCTAATTGTTCCATTGCTTAGTCTATGATCAAACTTTTCTAAGCTTCTAGGCTTAATATACAGTATGAGGTTTACTCTTCAACTGTTTAATGTCCTTTTTTTTGAGACAGAGTCAGTGCTAAACCTTGATTTGTGTAAATTTAACTGGGTGTGTCAGAGTTGTCCAGGTATCAAAGAAGACAGGATTAGTATCAGAGGGCCCATTGAACTAGCGGATCCTTCAGGGGTAGTGCTACACCTATAATGACCAATCCTAGTTCCAGCCTGAACATAAGGACTGTTATAGTAGGGACTATTAATCTAAGCTCTTGTTTTGCAAATTTGTAAGATATCTGTCATAGGAGCAGGATTACTTGAGCCTAAGGATCATGTTTTTGTGAGTGTTGAATTGCTGCATCTGATGAAGGGATTTCAAATCTAGGACTGAGGATCTGGTCACAATCAATATGAGTTGGTAATGACAAATATTTTTGTCCATCTATAGACTCAACTTTATAACCAGATGTTCCCCCACAGTCTCCACAATTCCTGTCCAAGTTTTTAAGAAGTAGGGAGTGCTGGAGCTCATAGTGACAATGTTTTAAAGAAGATTGAACTGGCTAAAGACTTTTTACTTTGGTCATAAAGAATTGCATTGACTGTCCTTTTGACATGCTGGGTAGACTTTGACTAGCAGATTTTGGAGCAGGCTCCTTTGCAGATCTCTGTGTATTGTAGAGTGATTTCTAGTGGTAGCAGTGTGTTTCCTCCTCACCATGCTCATTGGCGCTGTGTGTTGTAAAGTCAATGGTGCTGGCTGGGTCCAGGGTGTGAAGCTGTGTTGTTATCTGAGCTGCAATTTTATACTGACCTTACTATCCTTGGCAAAGTGAGATGTCAATGAGCAGTACCTTCAGCAGATGCAGCTTTCCTTCAAGAACGTTTTGCAGGACTCCATGATCTTCCTGAAGGTTTTACATTTAAAGAGAGGATGTGGCTTCCAATGCAAGTGTAACTCCCTCCAGGTTAGCTAGATAGACTGTGTGTTTTTTCGTTTTAGCAGAGGCAGAGGCTGAGTAGCAGTCTGGGTTGAGTCAGCCTGTGAGTGAGGCAGGAGTTTTCCTCAGGATAGGCAAGGAGGCTCTATCAGGTCGGGGCTTCTGGAGCCCTCCCACCTCTCCAGAAAACTGAGAGCTTTCTGGAGGAGGGGTGGAGGAGGGTAGGAGGCCCGGATCTGCATGTTTGAGGAGCTTTGGCCAATCCCCCGGCACGAGGCTGGGCATGCTTACCAAGGCAACACTCAATTGTGGCAGAGCCTGCGGCTAGGTGTGCAGTGCTGGGTGGAAGAAGGATTGAGGAAAGCTGCAGTATGGAGCCTGGGAGGGGGCAACAGGGAGGGGAGCCCACCTACAGGCAGGTCACTGGAGAAGAGAATCTCCACTGTACCACCATGTCTTTAGGAGGACATCCTGAGCAGCAGGGAAGGAGCCAGCCCAGTGAAAGACCTGAAGGCAGCCACCAACCCACTAAGATGACAGGAAAGGACAGTTTGAGTATTCTTACACTCCCTGGGCCAGATAAGGGCAGAGGGCAGTCAGGTGCAAAAAACAGCTAGCTTCTAATCTGGGACTGTTTCTAAACTAACAGCTCTTGCCCCCCCCCCCTGCCCAGGGAATACCCTCAGTACAGCTAAGTGAAGAGGAGTAATCATCTGGGGTTTGAGGCGGTACACTAGGAAGAGTCTTTGGAGGTCTTCAAAGAAAGAGACTATTTCTATCCACATTTTTGTACACAGTTGCTAAGGAGTTTGTCCTCAAATTCTGCAGTTCCTCAGGCATTCCATATACCCCTAATACCCCATCCAAGTTCTTAACCAGGGGCGGACTGACAACTCATGGGGCCCCCGGGCAATAGGGGATTATGGGGCCCCGTGTCCTCGCCCCCACACCCACAAAAGCCTATGAAAAACACAATGAAAGGTACCAGGGGCATCTCATGGGGCCCCCTACTGACCCTGGGCCCTCAGGCAGTGCCCGAGTGGCTAAATCGTCAGTCCGCCCCTGTTCTTAACCCATAAATAAAATCACAAAACCAAGCTCAAGGACTGTTCTTTGACTCCAGTATACAAAGTGTGGAAAATGCATGTTGCCTGGCTATGCAGAGCATAGGGGGACCCAAATCAAATCCAGCAGCCCCTAAGGGGGTACTGCTACACAAGGAACACTGCTTATCAGGACCTTTGTCTCGGAGGGAAAGTTGTTGGCTAGCCTGTACAATTAATCTTGAGAAGTCACATTAGTTTTATGTACTGTTTCGGTGGATTTAAAGCTTGTTCACCTGGTCCCCCAGCCCTGTACAGTCGGTACAGCAGTTTGCTTAACTTTTTTGCACTAGAGTCGAGTGGCTTGCAGGTAGCCTATTTAAGTGAATGGATTCGCATCAGCTGTACAGACTCACTGAACATGTGAGTTTGACAGATATGCAGGGATGGGAGCACAGAGCCTGTGCATCTGAAGCCATGCACCCATCCCTTCTTACCTGTCAAACTTGATTGGTTGGGTGAGTCCTTATAAAATCGATTCACTTATATAGGCTGCCTGCATGCCTGCAGAACTAGTACAAAAAGATAAATTATTCACCCATGTGAATACGCTGTTATTGGGGATAGGTCTTGAAGAAAACTAGGATCATTACTTGTTTCAGCTTGTTGGCACACAAAGTCCACAAAACAGAGAAGGGAGAAAATAAAACATTGTACTGTCTTTTATATTTGGTTTCATATGTGATCCACTGTTCTTGCAATTTATAAAGTAACTTTTGTACCATGGGGTTAACACCTCTGGCTGTGTGAAGGAATGCAAGTCCTTGCAAGTCCTCTTTAGACTTGGCTTCCTGGATTTCCATTAATGAGTCAATTAACTGTAACTTCTAAGCTTCTTAAAGTCTTTGTTGGGTATTTAGGAAAGTTATCAATTCTTTAAAAAAAAGTGCATTTTCTATTGCTTCTGCTGAGCCATAACACTCATCAAGTCTGTCCCAGATCATTTGGGGCCAGTCTCAGTGTAGTTAATGTTAATTGTTCTAGTACGTTTGGCATGCTTAGCAAAGTCATTTTCAAGCCATTTTATTAAGAGGTCTATCTCTTTACTGCAAGACAAATCCAAACCTCTGATTGCATTTTCAAAAGGAAGATCGCCTGACTCTATATCTTTCAGGGTGATCATTGAACTTTTCAAGTCCCTTAATAGCTAACTCATCGTGCAAAGAACTTGGCAAAGCCTAGTGTGGCTTAATTAGCTAGCTGTGTATTGCTGGGGTGAAAAAGTTGTGATTATCCTGCTTGAGAGTCTCTGGTTTAAGCATGCAGGTATCATATAATTCTGGCATGAAAGCTGATATTGTAGGATAATCAGGGCCAATGCTTTCACTAGGCAAACTAGGCAGCAACCTAGGGTGCACTGCTACCTAGGGGCGCCTGGGTGCAGAACAAGCCGTCACTCTCTCTGTGTGGCCTATGGACCTCTTGTAAGAATTCTTCATTTCTCTGCAGAGTCTCCCTCTTCTCATACACAGGGAATTATGGTATCTTTACTTTGCACTATTGTCTCACAGCCCGTCCACACACATGACCATTTAGTACACATATATATAATATATATTTTGTTGTTAATATTGGTTTTGGTGGCATCTTAGGGCACTTATTTTTGCTAAACAAAAGAAATTTAGCAGTTTCATATTTTGTTGATTTAATATTTTCTACTGGTTTTTAAAATTATTTAATTTTTCTTTTGGGGGAGGGGGGATTCAAAATGCTGGTCTAGCCTAGGGTGCAAAATAGTCTAGCACCCGCCCTGAGGGTAAATAGTATACTTGGGTACCATACATGTGGGAGGTCTGTCATGAGGGGTGTCGTTTTGCTTGTTCTCTGGTTTGCAAACAAGGCTTGTCACAGGTGCTCCAGGTACTATATAACTTTCTGATGAACTCACACTGATAGGCAGCACTGATGGGCACTGATAGGTGGCACTGATGAGGTGGCACGGATAGGTAGCACTGATAGGCACCACTGATGAGCTGACACTGATGCTGCTGCACTAATATGCAGCAATGATGGGCACTGATAGGTAGCACTGACTGGCGGCACTGATGGGTGGCACTGCTGGGCAGTACTGAAGGTTGGCACTGATGGGCATGGGTGGGTGGCACTGATGATCAGTGCCAATCTGTTTTCTGACAATTGCCGGTTATCAGCAATATTTTCCTCACGCTGTGACAGCGTGAGGAAAGTGCAGCCGGCAACCGGCAACTGCACACATTTGATAA